TACATTAAATGGGTATTCAATAATCCAATTAAAGAAAAATAATATAATTTGACTAAAAAATTGAATACTACTATTTTTGTTTTGTTTCATATCTTTTCTTTTTTTGATATAAATTTTTTTCACTTTTATTCTTTTTTTGTTTTAACTTTTTTTTATACCTTTTGCATTTTAACATTTTTTTTTTTTTTCCATATTTTTACAGAATCATAATAATTTTTTCATTACAATTAAAATTATTAATATTTATAAAAATATATCTGCATGTAAAAAAATGAATTTTTGTTATAAATTTTATTTTTGTTATGCCTTTTTGACGTATAATAACTCTTTTAACATATTACTAATAAATATGAAGAACATCAATATGAAAGCAATTTTTTTAAATTTATAAAGAATAAAATAGTTACGATAAAGAATTAAAAAATTTTTTTTTTTCTGTAAGTTTAAAATAAAATTTTTTCTTACAAAATTTAAATTCTTATGTAATAAGGTGATTCTTTCAGCAAATTACACATTTATGTTTATATTAAAAAAATATAGCATTTAAAGATACGTATATTAACTCTCTTATTAACATTCAAATAATGAAAAAAATTGAAAAATTAGTTTTTATGATATAATTTTTTTATAATGCATTATTCTTCCCTTTGCAATTTACTTTAAAAGTTTTTATAAAATTAAATTTGTTTTCAGATGAATTATACATATTTAATAAATTAAAATTATATGTTCATTGTAAAAAAAAAATAATTATTTAATTAGATAAATATTAAAATTTAAGAAATATGTAGTTTATTTTATTTTATTTTACAAGAAAAAATATTATTTATGTCTAAAAATTATTATAGTATGGTTATTTATATTTATTAACATATGTTAATGAATTCTTATTAAAGATTTTCTTATTAACTCCTGAATGTATCAGTATTTTACAATAAATATATCCAACATGATATTTACATGATAATTTTAGTAAAATAAAAATGAGTTTGAAGTATGCTAGTAGAACTTTTAGATTAGATGATAATAGTGATCTTTATTTAGTCTCTAGACCTGATGGTAGTACTTATTATTATAATGCGGAATATATGAAATCCTATTACCTTGACAAAAATGAAATTTTAATCATTGGAATTTTCTCTGCCATTTGGTTTTTTTGTATAATATTTGGAATATACGTATTTATAAATGAAGTAATAAAATATTTTAGGAATATATTATATTGACATTTTTAATAAAATATTTAAATAATAATTCTTATTAATATAAAAATAATTTATTTTACATTAATTTTTATTTGTATAGCGAGCTCGAAGGCAAAGGATATTAAATAACTTAATGCTTGAAGTAATGTCTATAGATTCAGGATATTGGGAAGATAACAATGAAGAATTAGAACAGGAAGCAGTAGATATATCAAATGAGTGATTTATTAACTGGTGTTCGGTGACTTCACTAGAGTACTGAACAAACAAATTATTAAAGAGCATGTAGAGGGGTTTCTAAGATTTTGCTGTATTTATATATGTTCTTAAATGCTTTGAACGAATGATTCTTAATTATGTGCTCTACATCATTCAGCATTCTTTAATTTCAATAGGAATTTATTTACTTTAATTAAAATCCCTATTTTTAATAAAAATTTAAATCCTTATTGAATATTGACTATTAATTAAAAGTATATTACTTATTTCTTTTTTATGAGTTATATTCAGCTATTTAAATATATTGCTGTTGAATTAACAAGCATAAACAATTAGTAAAAAATACAAATAAATTATATGTATATTAATTGCGTGAAATTTTTATTATCACATGTATAAAATTTTTTCGCACAAATTCTAAATATAAACATTATGCAAATTAATCTCTTTTATGAAAACATTATTATCTTTTGTTAAAAAAAAAATCTCTCTATCAATAAATCATTCTCTCTCAAAAAAAAATAAAAAATTCTTTTTTATTTTTTTTTTATCTTCATCTTTTTCAAAAGCCAAATATCTCAAGAAAAATTCCAATAATTTTTTTCTTTTTTTTTTTTTTAGTTAGCACAACCAACTACGTATTCTCCACATAGCTAGTCCCTTTTATAGTAAAAAAGGTTAATGAAGCCTTTTATTAACCAATGAGGAAGTAAAGAGAATAGTAGAAGCGTAGAGAGAAGAGTAATTGAAAAAATGGAGATGAGAGTAGATGAAGAAATAGATATAATAAATGAAAAAGTAACAATAATTATAGATCAAGAATTCTAGAAAAGAATATATGAGGAAGCGATTTTAAGTGAAAATGAAAAAGTATAAAAAATGTGATAAATAATAATCTCTGTGTAAAAAAATTTTTTTTTGTTTA